CAGTAGAAAATGCCTTTGAAGAGTTTGTTGCCTCCCGTCCAGCTGATTTTTACAAGATCAATAAACTGCCAATGCGTTGGCAAAGATGCATCGATTGCATGGGTGATTACTTCGAATAACGGAAATAAAAAAGTTTGAAAAAATAAGTACTTTCACTTATTGCATACAAAACGTCAATTTCATAGGTGAAGACCTAATATAAAATTCTTCTTCTTAGAGTATATTTTTCTAGATTGTGATTCAACACTGTTTTAATTTTTCTCTGTTTCAAAGAATTTTTTTAAGGACTGGTATTATATGATGCACGCACTTATTTAATGTTGTTATTTTGCAGCGCGACGCTCTATCATTAAATTATTTTTAATCCATACTTATGTGTTATTATTATTTCTTAGAGTATATTTTTCTAGATTAATAATAGATTCACTACTGTTATAATTTTGCCCATTTTAAAGAAAATTTTCAACATTTTTGCATGTATACTAGGAAAGCAGAATGACGTGACGTGAGTGTGGAACGAAGCTGTTACGCACACTAACATTGAAAACACGGATCATTTTTTGTTCTTTTGCAGCGTAATGCTTTATCTAGACATAAATAATCTAAAGAGATTCGCTATCTACCTACATTTCAAGTACCTTGTAGAAGGGGAAGGGCATCTGACACTGCATTTATCATCAGGATTAGGAAACACCGAAGGAAGGTAACACCGTGGTCCCCAAAGAAAGGGAGCATCTGTAAGCCGTAGATGATCCGGAGTCTGTCTGGTCAGCAGTGATTTTCTTACTAGGTTACACCTGATTCTCCGGCTTTTGGTACATGAGACGGCGTGCGGTTTAAGTCGGTTCGTGTCCCACATAACCATCCCATCGGTCGTTCGATTTATGTAAATTAAAAATCGATAAGAAAAGATGCTGTGCGCAAATACTTAATTTGTGAAATTAATACAAGACATATATCAAATAGTAAATTCGTGGTTTTGGGTGTTCTTTTAATTGTATTTTGACATTATCGAATGCAGTAGATAGACAGTAATACTATTTCACACACACACACAGATCAACAACCTTGAATAGTCCACTGTCGCTTGTCGCTGGACATAGGCCTCTCCTTAGAAAGGAGGTTCAGGTTTTTGCCTACTTTACCTCACTGGCCAGACGAGTTGGTATAGGGTCTGTGTCAAGTTTTCTTTCTCTTTGCAGTGCTGTTGTCCTACAGAATTTGCTCCCTCAGTCGGCTCCTACGACACCCACGGGATGAATAGGAGTGGGTATGGTGGGTGAGTGGTGACACTCCGTATTCTTAATTCGTCACCAAACGGACACTAATACTACCGTAATACTATAACCGGTTCTTATTTTATTTTTTATTTTACATCCTGTAGATACTTGTCCTGTACAATGAATATCATTGATGGTCATCACAACACATCACAGATAATTGCACGTTAATATAATAAAAACTTGCTTATCTCGCTATCTCTAATCGCTTTATGACAACGCTCTCGACCTATTTAGTTTACGAATATTTAATATACTCCTATGTATATAATACATAAGCTTACTGTGGCCTTCGCCCGCCATTCCTTTTACTTAATACTACAATGAAATGTATCTTATGTTACCTAAGATTAAAGCACAATTTTGAAAGACACATTAAAATTTATTTTGTGAGTTATGTACAAATAACAATTTTCTTCTTATATCTACACTAAAACTAACATTAATATTATGAAAGTAAAGAATTTGTGTGTTTATTTGTTTGGTTGAACGAGTTAGTCTCAGGAATTACGGGATCGAATTGAAAAATTCTTTTAGTGTTGAAAAGTCCATTTATCGAGGAACTCTATAGGCTATGTAACATCACGCTACGACCATTAGGGGCCGAGCTATAAAGAAAAATGTTGCAAGACCAGCTAGTTATGTATATATTAACACATGAAGAAAATTCTTTGTTTTCCTTTTTGAACAAAAATCATAAATAATACACTTAATGTTTATGTGTAGAAGTGTCTCAGGTCAAACATTTAAGAAATTTGTGCTATAAAGTCCATAAAAACAACTCTAAATGTTAATATTAAACGATAGGGGTGCATTATTTTGATCGCTCATAGTATAAAATTGTATCCATTGAGAACATTATCATCGTCATCAACAGCCTGGAACAGTCCACTGTTGAACATAGGCCTCTCCTTAGAAAGGAGGTTTTGGCCTACTATATCACGTTGGCCTGATGAGTTGGTATAGTTTGTTTCAAGTTTTCTTTTCTTTTGCAGTGCTGTTGCCTTAGTCGGCTGTTACGACACCCATGGGATAAATAGGGGCGGTGACACATCACGGATAATACACTGCCAGTTCAAGTTATACTGGTCAATTTAATAAAAAAAAGCCGTGTGGTGTCGTGGGACACCCGATAGGAACGAAGCTGTGACGATCAAGTAAAACTGATTCGACACGATTTTAATTACAACGCCATCTATGAAAGCGGCTATTACCTACATATTTTTCAGTTGGTTTCTAATTAAAACAATTTATACATTGGGAAAATCTCCTTGAGAAATGATGTCGAATACAATATTTTTTGCTCAACCTAAGAACATACATTTTAATTTTACTGAGATGAAAAGTAATGATTTCCTATCTATTCGATAGATGGCGCTGAATGACTGACAAGTGACAATTCAAAATAAAAAGTGTCGTTACAACTTTTCGTGAGATTTTTTCCGTCTAGCCCCCTTTCACAACGCGCGATAAGGAACTTCGTTCCAAAAGAAATTTGACTGCCGGCACCGCTCAGGTGATCGCTCATTAATACTGTTACTTTCGATTGTTCATGAACTACACAATACAAGAACCATTTATTCCTATGGCGCAATAATACAAATATAACTTACGTACACGTACGTGACATAATCAGAGTCCACACTGTAAACAATGGGAAGAGACTATTTACGTTTTCCAATGATATGGCAACCTTTTGGTGTCAATGAGTTACAGGTTTTACTTATAATCATTTGTGTTATTTAGGTTTAACTCGTATGTGACATCTTATACCTACTATACTATACTTTAAAAAGAAATGTTATAACATCATTTCAAGAAAAGAAAAGGGCGTACTCCTTCCTAAAAGGCCGGCAACGCGTTTGTGACTCCACTTTCGACCAGACCCGTCTGCTCTTCTGCCCCCTCTGACATAAAAAGAAAAAAAATCGATGCCACTCTGTTAGTCCCCCTTTAGAATTAGGGGTAGCCCAACTTCCCACCTCTTGTCGTGGTTGCAAGGGGACGGGGCTGCGTAGCCGCGGTAGTTGGGGATATAGCGGTCGTGGCCGCTTATTTCACGCCGAACCGAGACATAACTGAGTACGAGCAATGGCTCGCTCAGCTGGCCGTCGTCTTCGATGCCTGTCGCCCCCACCCGGGGGCCCTCAACCTAGGGGACTTCAACGCCTGGTCGTGGACATCTCGTTTGCGTGCCCTTCGCTAGCGCGTCGTGTTCAGGGCTGTCGCGTCGTTGTTGGGGAGGAGACAGGTTCGGATCACCGATATATTCGGTTTGACGTCTCCGCCCCTACGAATGGCGCGCCGATCAGACCGGCAACATCTGAACCACGTTGGGCGCTCAAGCGCTTAGATCGGGAGCTCTTTCTGGAAGCCGCCATCGTACAGGCCTGGGCCCCTGCACCAGATAGGCCTGTTGACGTCGACGCTGAGGCACAGTGGTTCCCGGAGGCCATAACCCGCGTCTGCGATGCGGCGATGCTTAGACCTCAGCCCAATATTGCGAGGCGCCAGGTCTACTGGTGGTCGTACGGCTGCGGCAAGCCTGCGTGACCGCGCGCCGCCAGTGGTTCAGGTTCCGCAGGAGGCGTCGCCGCCCCGAAGATGCGGTAGCGAGAGAGGCGGAGCTGTTAGCGGAATACAGGGTTACCAAGAGGACCCTTCAGGCAGCGATAAAGCGGGCCAAGAGTGAGGCCCGCCGCGAGATGCTGGAGACACTGAAGCGGGATCCGTGGGGACGCCCTTACCGTATGGTTAGGGGCAAGATGAGCCGATGGGCCCCGCCGCTCACACGGTGTCTTCAGCTAGAGCTGCTGGAGGGGGTCGTCGGGAGAGGTCAAGAACTCTCCCGGCCCGCCAGGCTCGGGAACGGGCCAGGTACCGCAGATGATTCAGGCGCCGGAGGTCGCAGAACGACCTCCGTCCACCATAAGCGCAGGCCTGGGGGTGACAGGTGAGGACATCTGTCACCCTAGCAGAAGCAGGCCGGGGTGGCGGCGAGCGCGTTGCGAAGCGCGCGCGCCCTTCCGGGAGCACAGAGGGAACATGGGGATTCCCACACAGGAGGGGCGTCTACCCGCCGTAGATGGCCCGAGGTACGTCGGGGCACCAGAGATTTCCTTTCTAGGGTACACCTGGTTCCCCGACTACGGGTACCTGCAACGGCGTGCGTTTTTTGTCGGTTTGAGTTCGACATTGCCACCGGTAAGTGGTATCCGAGGGGATTTCCGCACAGAAAAAAAAGGGGTATCCCAACTCCAGTAATCACACTCACTCGGCTATAAGGATTATTCATTATGTAATTTATTGTAATTATTTTTAGCACGACAAATGTTACAAACAATTATTAGAAACAACGAGTATTTAAATATTTACTATGTTCGATTCCATATTTACATGTCACCTTTAGTTTTAGTAAAGCCATCATATACTTCATGGCACGTGATAATTTACTTTAACATAATGTGAAAGAAAGATAAACTGCGTAAAAGGCAAACAAGACATAAAGGAAATAACTGGGAAATGGTGAATGACATCTCATGAATCTCAACCCCTCTTAGGTTATTTAAACATTTTTTTTGTTCAGTTGCTGCTCCTGAACGGAGAATACATTTTATCTTAAGAACACATCCAATATTTGATGCAACTTCCAAAGACTTTAAAAAAAATTGCAGTATTTTTATCACAACTAGAATCAGGAAAGTGTCGATAATAACTTACCTCATCTCCATACTCAAGTTTGCTAGCTCAGGAATCCTGCACCAATAGTTTTGTGGTGTGACAGTAATAAACATTTGCACAAAGTAGATGAAAGCAAAGGTGAATCCCGCTGGCAGCATCGCCACAAATAACATCTTCTGGTATCTTCCCATGTCACCGAGGTGAGATACAATTCTTTCCAAAATGTCAGCATCGTGAACAGGTTTTTCTGTGTCCTTCTAGAAACAGAAAAAAATAAGAAACTTGAAAATTCCAATCAACAAATTTACTACTTCAGCTAAGTTGGATATAGAAGTGTTAATACTAACATTCTGGTTTCCATTCTGTACGTCTTCTTGTCCCATTTCACAAACTAATTTTCCATAAACCTTGTTTATAAATATTTAGCCAATATTGCCGCAAATACGTCTAAAGTCGCAAAAGACTGAAAACACAATAATTAGAACTCGTCTCCGCAATTACATTGTACAATTGATCCACGGAAACTATACAGATGTAGGTAATTATACTTGACAGGTTTGCAGTCCGTGACTCTGCTTGTGAAAACTAAATAATATCGACACCTCCTAAGTATAATGAGTCAACTGACATTGTAGTAATTTTACAGGAGAGCGATTTGAAGGCAAATCGTTATATATTTTAATGAAATTAAACCTGTTCGTAATAAATTAAATGTTTTTTTAATAAGGAATGGAAGCTCTTCCTTTGGTATAAAATGATTTTGCTGATTATTGTTTTTAAATGATATTTTATGTACTTGACTGGGTATACGCCGGCGGGACTCAACAGTAAAATGGTTTAACTACCAGTTATATTCATGTACGTTGTACATCAAAATCTATGGCTTACCCCAATATATTATGAAATATGATTGTCATTTTGATAACGTCATCCTACTTTTGGTTGTTTTCGGTATTTTCTGTCTCACTTAATAATAAAATGTTGAAATTACATCACTTGACTCATTATACCAGGAAAGTACTTAACTATGTTAGCATTTGAAACCTCAACGTATACTGGACTAACATAATTCACCGAGCCTTTTTAATTACTCATTTGATTGCTATTATAATATCTATACATAAAAATTATGGGATTATTCAACTTCAATATATAAGTATAATCAAAAACAAGGTGAGGTGACGATTGGTGGTAGAACGTTCGACTGCCATGTCATGAGTTTCATCCTTGGGCGTCGTTATTGGGAAGTCAGTGCCTTCTATCTAATATCCTGACAACCGGTCTAACCATACGAATATCGGTATCCCTTTGGGTTACGTAAGTCAGATGGCAGTCGATCCGTAGAAAAATGATATTCAGCTAATAACCGGTTAGACCAGCGGCCGACCTTACGATATGTGGAATCAATAAGGGCTAGAAAGAAGCAGAAGAATCATAAACACAAACAACTCTTTTTATAGAATCACAATGTATTTTTCTTCGCTATAATTAGGTAGGAACATATTTTGAACATGATTTAGCCTTAGTAAAAGATACAAGAACAAATCAACAAAAAACAATTATCAATCTTGTCTCATTAAATTTACAGAAAAAGAAACAACAAACAATCAATAAAATAAGAAACTAATGTAGGTGCTTCAACTAAATATAGTAACTTACGTTAAACAATATTCATAACAGGAATAGGAACGAATAACATAAATATCTTTTAGACATTTATGTTATTCGTTCCTAGGCACTTCTAATGCTCAATAAATAGCTAAACAAACCGTAAGGTTTAACAAAATAAATGATAATCTTAAAGGTTTAATAAATTAAAAGTCACTGTCTGAATCGCTGTCATCAGCTGTGTTAGAGCCATTAGGGTTAGTTGAAATCAAATTATTAAAAAATAAATGATACTCCTAAATAATGATAGACCAGCGTCTTACAAAGATCCTCAAGTCTTTGTGCTTATTTGGTCAATAGGAATGGGTGTCTGATAAATTAAAGAAATATTATCTATATCAATATACAACTCTCATCGATTTCGTGTAGCTTTAGGTTTCTTTACATAACCTATCTACTTCTAAGCATTATCTTGGTAACTCGTTTTATAAAATACCCTAAATGGATTTTCTGCTTTAACTACTACTTCCGTTACTTTATTCCAAGGCATTTTAGATCCATCATTAGTAGTTGCCCAGTTGTTTATAGGTATTAGCTTTGATTGGAAGTATTTTATTAAATGCTGATATACTTCTATTGAATTTGCATGGCTTTTCATCGGATTTGGTATACGATTGATCAGTCGTACAAAGCATTTTATCTTTTGTCTGCATTCCAATTAAAGCGCGCATACTCTCGCTTAGTTTTGAGTGTGACCCACTAGCAGAAAGCGTTGGCTAATTTCGTACTTAACTTTGAACTAGCTAACATAAACACTAAGAAAACAATTCTGTTTCTAGTTTGGCCTCCACAGTTGTCTGACCAGAACCGGTAATCTTTGACACCTTCACCCACCGTATCATCTATAAACTGAAAAACACAGCTGGAAACTTCTTTTGCACCTCTATTTGTTGTCCTCTTTGTTGCTCTCAAGATATTTTATACTTTATTTTTTGAGAGTGTAATGTGACCCTACTGTGGAAAATACCGCAACGTGGTCTACAACACTGGGAACGATATCTTCATTGATAATCTTTAGAAAATTACTTTGCCTACCACGCTGATCTGTTTCAATAAATCTATCTCCTTTATCGGACTTTCCTAAAGCCGTATAAATAAAATTAAAACCAATAAAAAGGGTTCTTAAGAACATAGTTAAACTACGCAGGACAACAGTACTGCAAAAAGAAGGAAAACTTGAAACAAACCCTATACCAACCTCTCTCGCCAGCGTGGTATAGTAGGCCAAAACCTCATTTCTAAGGAGAGGCCTATGTCCAGCTGTGAACTGATAAAGGCTGTTGATGAAGAACATAGTTTTGCAAATATTATTATATTTTTGTACTCTCAATATTATCCCCTTAACTGCTTGAAGGGTAATAAAAAATAGCGTGAGAACGTTTTGAATTATCTTTATCCAGTGTTTATCTTTCTTTTTAGCTCTTACAGCATACCTTGCCAAAAAATGTTCTTGTGTGGTCTCCAATACTCCAAAACATGTCAAAATTCTTTGCCGAATATCTTCTGTTAATTTCCCATTACATTTTTGCCAACAATTTACTCTTCCGTTTCTTCTGACATCTTCCAACCCTCTATTAACATTATATTTCCTCTCCCGATCCTACCATTTTATAAAAACGTTCCCTTAGCTTTCCTTTATCTTTTTTAGCAATTGAAATCCGCCTACAACGTATGACGTTCTTTATTAATTACGTATTAATTACCTAGAGCATTTTCTATGACTGATGGCAATCGAACTTCTTGTTGAATTTCGATAAACGAGCAAGGAATATTATAATCAGGGAATAATATTATGGAAGCGTTAGAAGGGCTATTCTACAATACATCTATGCTATCATTCATATCAATATCATCAGTATTGACAGCTCCTCTTCCGTAAAATTTGTATCAGGTGGCAAAGGAAACTCTAAAACAAACAATAATTTAAATTAAAAACACAAGAATTCGTATTTTTGTGTTGAACATGCCAATAACAAGTAACAAAATATATAACAGATAAAAAAATATGTGTTATAACACAATTAATACAAAAATATCATAAGTTTAATTAGTATATTATTATAGCCAGATGAGTCAAGTGTCTTCTTTATAACGTTATTTCGCCGTATACTGGTGTAACTAAAGTTGTATCAGTATACGGCGTACTAAGCAACATGAACAACAATTATCAAACAAAAATTACAAAATCACACTAATACACGTAAAATAAAGATAACTTACCATTTTCATCCCTGTTTTGCATTGTATCACCGATTCCGGAGTTATTTTATTGTTTTATTGGTATTATTCACATTGTCGTTGAGTAAATTAAAAAGAAATCACGCCCTGTTTGACTGCATTCTGTTACTTATATACAATAATAAAAAAACAATATAAGACAAATACATCCATATTTACTTTATTCACTATTTTTACAAAGCAAAATTTTTCCTAAAATTGAGTGTACACATGCTGCCATTCATCGTATACTGAGCCACAATAAACTTGTATCAATGCGTCCCCCCACACGTCCCGCTTACACTGGTACGACATCATTTGGATCAGTATACAATGTACGATTTTAACTGATGTTGTAATTGACTTAGTATACGTGAAAATATCTCGGTAATTATTGTTCTTTTTTATTTATTTTTAACACTAACATCAAGATCATGGTTTAGTATGTCCGTTTATGTAAAAATATTAAAATACCTAAATTTGTTAGATGACTCAGTATACTTAGGAGGTATCGATATATTTGAATTTTATTTTTTATTATTTTAAAATTTTAACAGTTTTACAGTGATACAATAAACTAAATGGTTATAACAGTGTAAGGAAATAAATCAGCTGTGTGATGATCGTATTATTGCCATAACTGTTTGAGTCTTAAGACGCAATCATAATTCAAATGAACTAACAGATATAAAGAAAACTAAATAGAATTGTTAATGGAACTCATTGTCTTTCTTATTCTTTTAAGGATATATTTATAGAAATACCTACTCACTTGCACTTGAAATTTTTATTCATTGTAAATAAACGGGCTTGTTTCAATACGATGTTGAAAAACAATGACTGTATCAATAAAATTGATTGCAAATATTCTACGTTCTATAAGTCGCTTTCTATTTCCAAACTAAGCATTACATTTACCTTACATTGTAGGGCACCAACCAATGTACTAAAACACATTTTATTTGTTATTTAAAGTACATATTTAATACGTTTCAGCAACAAGACAAATACAAATTGATATATTGTGCATATAACTTTTGCAGGTAAGATTTGTAGATTAAATTGCTGGAAAAGGTACCATAATAACTTAAAAATTATGGTTCACTTTGCCGTGAAAGGAAATGTTGACTTTAAATGCAGATAGTCAACATAGGTGTCTGGTAACAAATTAACATGATTTTAAATATATAAAAGCACTACACAAAAAAGAACTTTCGCATAACCAGTTCATTTCGCTCATGCAGTCGTCGTCGATAGCCCGTATCTGTCCCAAACAAAGGTAGATTATGAGAATTAAGAATACCATCGTTGTAGTTGTTTCTATCTTTGTGTTCATTCTTTAATTCATTCTTAGTTTGATCCCTCTACCAGAGTTATTGGATATTAAAGTAACTGACTGCCTCGGTGGTACAGTGGTAGCGTATACGACTGCTGTGCTGAAGTCTCGGGTTAGATTCCAGTTTCGGACCAAATGTTTGTATGATCTTTGTAAATGTTT